ATTATTACTATCATTACTATTAGTACTACTCTTACTATTGTTACTATTAGCATTATTATTATTCTTCTTACTGTTTTTATTCTTATTATTTTTGTTACTATGACGTTCAGGCACCAATCCGGCCGAAGGCCAAGAGGCCCTAAAGCGTAAACCCTAAACCAAAACTCTAAGGGCCTAGGTTTGTCGAACAGTCTTAGGGTCTTATGGTTGTAGGTTTACGGATCATCAGCGTTAACCAAGCCGGCGCCGAACACCTTCACTAAATCTACACCCCTAAACCCGAAACGCTAAACCCCAGCCCAATGCCTGGAGACCGCAATCCTAGACGCTTGGGACTTTGTACCTTCATGAATTACTTATCCTAAACCCTAAATCTGAAAACCCCTATGCAAACTCAGAAGAGCCACTAGCACAGGTGGAACTAGCCTTGAACAATCAGAACTTTAGAAATGTGCTTCCCTAAATTCAAAACCTTAAAGGGGTTTAGGGTTTAGGCCCGTATCAAACGTAGAACCTAAAAACCCTACACCCCAAGCCCAACCCTCAAGCCCAACGCTGAAACCTTGAATTCCGAAGCCCAGATTGGGGTTTCTCAACTTGGGGGCCCCATTGTGCGGGTCCCTATAGTAAGGATTACATTATTGGGGTCCCTATGATAAGGAGTATAATTTTGGGTGCCTACAATAAGGAACACAGTATTGGGTCCGTATTGCAAGTAAGGTTTATAATGCTGGGTCCGCATAATGAGGATTATAGTGTGGACCCCTATAATAAAGATTGTTTTATATTCGCGTCACCTTATTTAGCGAAAAATACCAACTCGCAAAACCCTGGGCCACTGACCCACCCGATTCAAGATTGCCTGGGCGCGGTTTAGCGTTTAGGGTGTAGGGTCCCAAGGCACAATCCTAAACTCTAAACCCTTAACCGTTTACCCTGGGGATCCAAGTATACAAATATTACCTACGTTGGGCTCTAAGGTCTGTAAATATTACCTACATTGAGCACTTTGGATCTCTAGGGTTAAGGTTTTTGCTTTGTCTGTTTTTGGGAGGTAACGGTTTGGGGTCTAGGTTTGAAAGCTGGCGGAGGCAGACTTCGGGCGAAAGAGCCAACTTCACAGGCTGTCGCAAACCCTGTACAATCCGCAGTACTTCTAGTCTAAACTTTATAAAGGGGAGTTAAGTCATATAGGGTTTAGGGTCTAGGGCTTAGGGTGTAGGATTCGGGTTTAGGGTTGAAGTTTTCGGTCTTAGGGTCCGGGATTTCGAGTTTAGGATTTCCTCGGACCCCCCAAAATCAGTACAACTACGGCCTTCTTCACGATATGTAAGGGGTTTGGGCCAGTAATGAATTTTACTATATTTGACAAAAATGTGAGACATATTGTCGTCTTGCACAAGTTGGAACGTTTGTGGCTGGCCTTTCCGCAAGGACACCCTAATACGCGCATGCCATGGTCTTTAGAAGAAGCCAGCCGCACTCATGAAAACAGTGGCAGGGTAATTTAGAATGATTTTGGTACTACTCCATATATGAACCACCATTTAGGGTGAGGTCGGGTGAGGTCGCTTTAAATTGCCTAGCAGTGGTAGCCCTTGGGGTTTATGGTGCTGTGCTTACTTCACAAGAAGTACTAGTAGTACTGATACTAGAACTACCAGTATGCCTGGTACCAGTGCTGCTGGTGCTAATACAGTGACGGCTCGGGGGTTGACTACTATGGGAAACTTTTACTTGTTCTAGTTGTTTTTTGACCACCCCAACCCCACTGAGCCTTTAAGTCTTTAAATATGAGAAAGAAACACCCCGAAAAGCGGGAACCGTGTTAAAGTCGCAGAAAAACCCACCAACTCTAATCCAAAGCCTAAGCCCTGAACCCTAAACCCTCAACCCTGCTCCCTAAGCTCAGCATGACCCTGCGTGAGCTGCCGGCGGAGGTTTCGCAGTACCTTGACATGAGAACTGAAGGTTCAGGGCGTAGGGATTATAGTTTCAGGTTTAAAGGTACAAGTTGGGTACTGCCCCCCCTCAG